TCCCTAAAAGTAGTAGAAGAAAAAACCTGAGTGTTGCGAGTGAGAAATGACTTCCTCAGTTTGATAGACCTCCAGAATTTCTTGAATACCAGAGCATCTTGAGTGGATTCTAATAGCTGTCTGCACAGTAGCAAGTGCATGACATGTATGTACTCCAGGCCAGTTCGGGCTGCTGTTCTCTACCATAAGGTCAGAAACAGATGAGGACTTTATTGGCTGATTTATTCAGCCAGTATCTTTGAGTGCCTGAACATCAGGCGAATATGCTCTTGGTCCTGCTCTGGAGTTGCCTATCAGAAGAAAAATGCACAGAAGCATTTGACCAGACATATGAGACTGGAACTATTGAGAGGTCTATCTGTGAGGCAAGAGTCTGTGGCCGTCATGTTAATTTAAGTGCCCCATCTTATCCTGTATATCCAAACTACATTCTCAGAATTACCTTTTATTCTGAGTCAAGAAAGGATAATAAACTCAAAATAGTCAAAATACTTAAAATGTATGAAGTAACAGGTAAAAGGAACAAAGTAGCTTTTTGTGAAAAATTTCCGAACAAAATCGCATTATAATAATTATAAGAGAGTTTTTTTCTGTATTTCAGCTACATCTGAATCCCTGCACATGGCTTATAGAAACAATGCTCTGTGATCTGGTTGATTCTGTCCCATGACAGTCACCTCTATAAACACTTTGAGTATCACTTTCTGTGTTGTCTTAGAATAAATGCTAAGCTGACTTAGCAGAAATCATGCTTCTCATCTTTGTGTTGTAGACTTTCTTTTTGTTTTATAATCACTATAAGTTATACTTCCATTTCCCACAGAGAAAAATCCTGAGCATAGAAATAAAATTTTCTTATTTTATTTGCAAAACTATAAGGAAAAAGAGCCTTTGGCTTGTAGAAGAGGTGAAGAAGTTAAGTGCCCAAAACTCAAAAATGATTCTCTTTCATTGATAGCCACACAGCTCTTTCTGGATGTGTTCATTATGACGGTTCCATAACAACAAAAAATTTAGGTACTGCTGGAGTCACTGTCCAGTGATTAGCATTGTGCTGTATTTTAACACCTTTTCTTCTATAGGAAAAGGAAGAATTGATAGAAGAGTGGCAACCAGAACCTCTTGTTCCTCCTATCTCAAAAGACCATCCAGCTCTCAACTACAACATTGTTTCAGGGTAAATCTGTTTGCTACTGAAGGATTTGTATTTGGTTTCATGCAGGTAAACTAGACAAAGTATACAGTGGTTCATATGGTGTTCCTTTTTTAACTGCAATAAAACATGTAGAAATTTCCACAGATCAGAACTAACTGTTTTACTTCTCAATGTAAAAAATTTTTTTTAGGAATGGTATGGGCATTTTTTATAGTTTTCAATTCGGGCATTATAGTTTGTCCATTTTTTCTAAAAAATAAAAATACCTCTTTTTCAAAATAGTACATGCACATATGTCAAATGGTCAACATACTTAAAATGAAAAGCAACACTTCTGCCTTTTCTCACCTGGTTTTGTTTCTGATTTTTGTTTTGCTGCAGGTTACAATTATAACTAGATGGTAATAGCATGCTTACACTACTCTTTCTTGATTGATTAACTATAGACAACGCCTGTTGACTCTCACAATATGAATTATGAAACTTTAGCTCACTTAAGCTGCCTCTCCTCTTTCTTTCAGTATCTTATTCGATTTTACTTTTAGTTCTATTAGTTATCTTTGCTTTATTGTATGTGCTTTATTTAAGAAGTATTTTTAAAATACAGGAAATATCAGACACATTTGTATCAACCATCTAGAATTAATAGGCATTAACATTTTGCTACCTTTAGTTGAAATGTTTTTTAAAAAAGTAAAATGTTACAGATATAGCTAAAGTAACCCCTTCCCATCTATCACTTACTCTTGCCTCCCACACTAGATAACCACTATCTTAAAGTTGGTGGGTGTTTTTCCTTTGCTTATGTTTATACTTTTTCCACATATGCCTGTTGTCATGAAAATATTTAGTATTTTGTTTAAAAATGTGATGCAGGAAATTTTCAGTGTGTCCTACTTCTGGTTTGATCTGTGAGAGCCTTGTATTTTTCACTACCATGGATTTCTTTGTTCTTAAAAAAATTCTGCATTTTCTAAAATCAAACTTACAAATCATTAATCTTGTGGAAGAAATCCTTCCCTACCCCAAAAGTCTAATTTGCCTTTTTTCCTTGTGATGGTCAGTTGTCTTAGCATTGTTAGTTGAATAGTCCATTTTTTACCTATTGACTGGTTAGAAATTTCTCTTCTTTTGTACACTAAGTTCTCTTGTAAAGGATCTGTTTCTGGCTTCGTTTCTATTTTTTCGGTGTATTTGTTTCTCCCTGTGCCAGAACCTCACTCATATAAATACGGCTTAAGAAGAGGCCTTGATAAGAATCAGTCCTTCACCTCCCTGTTCTTCAAAACCATCTTGATTCGTCACTCTTCACTGTGATCAAATTTGTCCAAAAATTGAGTTTATGAGTAGCGGTGCATTTGTCTAAAAATTGAGTTTATGACTAGCGGTGCATTGAACTTACGGATTAATTTGGAGTGAAATCTTCCTAATACTGAATTTCATCACCATGTACTTGGTGTGTCACTTGTATACTTAAGTCCTTTATGTCCTGCAATAAAGCTACATGATTTTCTTTGTAAAGACTTGGTCTGTCTTTTCTGTTTCTGCTTTTATTTTGAAACGTGTAGATTCTCATGTGGTTGTAAGAAATAATACAGAGAGATTCCACATACCATTCCTTAGTTTTCCCAACAACCAGAAATTGACATTGTGTATTGACTAATAGATTCATCCCTAGGTTACAGAGTGTTTTCGTTTCTGTCATGAGAAGTGTCTTTTTCTTCTTGTTCCTGTGTTATTGAAGTAGGTGGGACACTTGCATGTAGTGTAGAATAGGGGTGGTAGCAAGGGCCTCAGTGTCCTATTCCTGATGGCTTTTAAGAGATAACCTGTATCAAGTTAAGGGCCTTCCTTTCTCTAGTTTGCTAACAGAACTTTTTGTTTTTATAAATCAGAATATTAAAATTTATCCAATATGTTTTCTGTATCTGTTGAGATGGTTATGACTTTTCTCCTCTAATTAGTTACTATATTGAGTTATACTGATAGACTTTTTTAATTAGTTATGCATATATGTAAATTTTTATGACAGAAATTGCAATCCACCATGCCACCCTTCTTCACCTCAGATTCCCACTCTGTAGAAGTAACCACTTTATATTTATCTCTTTTTTGAAGGAACTTGCTTATAATGTTATTTCTTGATTTCTTTTCCCCCCAGGTTTAATTACATTTATTAATTTTAGGAGGTAAATTAATTTTAGGCTCTCTGAAAAAAAAATGCACACTTGGCTATCTCCAGGTCCATAGTAGCCCCTCTGTTGTCTTTGTGTGGACTAGAAAAACCACCCTTCCTCTGGCAAATGCAACAGTCTGATGTGGACCTTGGCTGTGGTGTGGCTCCCTGGGCACCGTTGACAAGACACCAGCTGCGCAGCCACACGCTGCTGCCCTGTCGTTCCCCTTTCTCCCAATATAGTTCTATTATTGCATCATGTGATTAGTGTTTGCATTTTTATGACTGCATTAATATCGTTCATTAATTTAGGTTATTGTCCATTTTTTTCAATATGCAGAATATTTTAATTACTTTTCTTGTTTTCTCTAGAGTTAATCGGGTTTTTTTTTTTGGTCCACTTGCTTGCTTGTTTTATGTAACAGTCTAATTCATCCCTTTATCTTCCTCCAAGAAAATGTAAATCTTTATTCAGAATGTTCAGACGCAGGAGTTATCTCTTGGGTTCACTTTCATTATTCTTCCTGGAACTATTGTTGTCCTGCTTCAGTCTTGACTGGTTGCTGTACTGAGCTGCTGCCCAGGGTGGCCTTGGAATTTCAACCTCAGCATTAGCTCTGGAATTCCCTTTGTGTCTTTCCTGCATTGTCAGTACCCTCTATCTTGGTTTACTCCCAGATATTGATAGAGTACAGGTGGACTTCTGAGGAAGGCCTATGGAAGGTAAGTTTTTGAAACTTTACAGGTCTTAAAATTAGTTTTTAGTTTACTCTTTCACACTAAAGTGATTGTTTTATCTGTTTTTATTGCTCTGTTAGACGCTTTCTCAATGTCTAGTGATCCTTAGTGTCTTTTTTTTCCCCAGTATACAGAATATTTTCATTATAATAAACAGCATTATGAAAATAGTCTGCAAAAACCACAAAAACTATGATGTTTTGTTGATATTGATAAATTAGGAGTTACTTTTCAATTTATGCAATATTTCTTTACATTCAATACTGAGTTGACACAAAAATAAATGAATTTACTTAACTTGGATATGTCTTTTTCTTGAAATAACAGCCTTATTGAGATATATCCACATACCATAAAATTTACCCTTTTAAGGTATACAATTAAGTGAGTTTTAGTATATTCACAGAATTGTGTAACCATCGCCACCATCTAACTCCAGAATATTTTCATCACCCCAATAAGAAATCCCACACCCATTAGTAGTCACTCCCCAGGCCCTGACAGCAACTAATCTACTTTCTAGATTTGCCTCTTCTGGACATTTCATACAAACTTGCCTATTCTGGAAATTTTACATAAAAGGAATCATGCAATACGTGGCCTTTTGTGTATGCCTTCTTAAGCATAATATTTTCAAAGTTCATCCATGTTGTAGCATATATCAGTGCTTCACTGATTTTTATGAGTGAATAATATTCTACTGTGTGTATAGATCACATTTTGTTTCCACATTCCTCAGTTGATGGGCATTTGGGTTGTTTCTACTTGGAAATGCATGGGAAAAAAAAAAACATGTATATCATTCCTATGAATACTTGTATACATACTTTTTGTGTAGACATATGTTTTCATTTCTCTTGGGTATTTACCTAAGAGGAGTTGTTGAGTCATACGGTAACTTATGTTGAGGAACCACCATACTGTCTTCTGGGATGTAAACTGGCTGAATCAGTTTACATCCCAGGGCAATGTATGAGTTCTTTTCTTCACATCCTGGCTAACATTGACTCTCTGTCTTTTTGACTATTGGCATCCTGATAGGCAGGAAATGGTATCTCATTGTACTTTTGATTTGCATTTTTCAAATGGTTAATGATATTGAACATCCTTTCATGTGCGCTTATTGGCCATTAATATGTCTTCTTCAGAGAATTGTCTACTTAAGTCATTTGCCCATTTTTTACTTAGTTTATCTGTCTTTTTATCATTGAGTTGTAAGAGTTCTTTATATATTTTGGATACTAGGCCTTTATCAAACATATGACTTGTAAATATTTTCTCCTGTGGGTTTTTGTATCACTTCTCTCATAGTATACTTTGAAGCACAAGTGTTTTTAATTTTAATGAAGTCCAGTTAATCTATTTTTTATTTTGTTGCTTGTGCTTTTGTGTTAAATCTAAAAATCTTTACCTCATTCAAGATTATGAAGATTTTATACCTTTGTTTTCTTTTAAGAGTTTATAATTTTTACTCTTAAATTTAGATCTGTGATTTATTTCGAGTTAATTTTTATAATGGTGTGAGATAGGGGTTCATCTTCATTCTTTTACATGTATACCCAGTTGTCTCAGCATCAGTTGTTGAAAAGACTGTTCTGTCCATATTGAATTGTCTTGGCACTCTCTTGAAAATCAGTTGACCATAAATGTTAGATTGTCCATTCATTTTGAGAATGAGATACTGAAATGCTAACTGGAAGCCCTGTGTAAATGGATTGGACTTCCTGACTGGTGATGGGCATCACTCTAGGATAATTGGACAGGGACCTGTTCATTTATCTTAGGGGACCCCAATCTCAGCATTTTCTATTTTCTCTGAACTTTGAGTTTCACCAAAAAGGAATCTTCCAGTGTGCTGGGGGCAGGGAGGTAAACCTGATTTCTAGCTTTCTGGGAACTGAGTTGGAGGTGGAAGGCTCAGTGTCTCATATTTTATTATGTAGGTTTATGCTTAATTTCTGTTTCTAGAGTGACATCTGTCCCCTCACTGGACCTTCAGACTTTCAGTTTATATTCAGCCCTTCTAGAGACTGAATCTCCAGCCTTTCTGTAGGGTGAGAAGAAAATTTGAGGTAACAATTGCTGCTTATGAAGGTTTCTGAGCCATCCTCCACTAGTCCACCCCTCCTGTTCCCCACTCTCACAAGGAGTCATGATCCCAGCCTGGGAGGTGAAGGTTTTCAGACTGTCCTCTTATAGTTCACCCCACCCGTTCCCCACTGTCACAGAGAGCCGTGTCCCAAGATTGGGAGCATTTTGGGTGTTACTGTCATCTCCTATGTCCCGGGATTGGTAAGGTTAGACCTTTAGACTTTGTAGGCATTTTTTGTGAGGTATCAGAAGGGACCAGAGGTTGAAATGTTTTTTTTTTTCTTTTGTCTTGTTTATCAGAAGTCACTAGTAGGTTTTTCTATTAATAAATAATCCTTACATCCCTAGAATAAACCTATTTAAGCATGAATTTGGTTTTTATACATTGCACGATTTGTTTTGATATTATTTGGGACACTGTGTATTACCTGTGTGTGTTCTACTAAATATAGATTTTTTTAATCCTGATTCAGTGTCTTCATTTAGTTTGTAAAGCTATTCGGCTTTCCTTCTAGAGTAAGTTTTGTTTACCATCATTTAGTCATTGTCCATTTCTCATGTTTCAAATATGTTGGTATGAATAGTTTATAGGATTCTCCTGGGCATGGATATGTAAAATATATACATGTAACTTTATTATACAGATCTGTATAATGACACATCTGTGGGTTTCGGGTCTCCTCAGTCAAATTCTCCAGAAGTTTGTCTTCTGGTTTAGTTGAGTCTCTTTTGTTTTATTTTCTCCATTTTTGAGCCTTTCTTGGAGACACAGACATTAACCTTCTGCCCACATCCATTCTCCCCACGAAGGTACCTCACTGTAGTACCTTGTTACGCTTTCATCATCATTTCGTGTGTTATACATTTCTATGTTATTAAAATGCTACATTTTATTTATATATTGTATGTATATTTGAAACCTCATAACTTAATATTTTATGAATGTATGTTTTTAATTTTCTGTTCTAGACTTCATTCTGAATTTTTTACAAGATTTTTTTTCAACACTTATTTTTTCCAACAAGTATTTGAGCGCCTGTTCAAGGAATGTGCTGAGCACATTGGTTTATATAACAATAAATCACAATCTTAGTTTTCTTAGGACAGACAGATCAACACTGAAATAAATATAACATTAGCTAATGTTAAATGGTATAAAGAGATATTAAAGCAGGGCAAACAGAGATGGGGGTGTTAGATGTACTTTTTGTTCATTTCTTCTGACCACTACAAATTATTCCGATGGGTATAGTCACCAATATTTAGCCATTTTCCTCGAGGTGGTAAAAAATTCCATCTCAAGGAAAAAGAGGCCACAAAAAATCCTGTGGTTAATATCTCCTGTGGACCTGTTTGAGTCCCTCTGGGAGTATACAGCCAGGAATGGGGTACATGCTCATTTGATATACCTCTGGGACTTTTCTCCATCATGATCCACCCATCTATGCTCCCCTGAGTTAGTATATGTGAGCATAGTTTCCCCCAGCCCAGGTTAGTAACATTGTTTTATTTTGCATTTCTCTGATTATTTGAACCTTTAAATATCATTTCATCTCTTTATTAGCTGCTGGGGTTTTCCTTTCTGTTCTTTTGCCTCTTTTTCTGCTGATTCCCAGCCTGTCTTTTGATTAGCAAATTCCATATACCATGTTGATTTTAATCTTTGGTCAGTTTTTGATGTAGTACTCTATTACATTGATTCAAAGACACACTTTTTGCCCTCTATTTTAAGATCTCTGAAATGGAGTGAATCTTACAGCTGCTGAGAGTCATTGTTAACTGGGTGGGGGCGGGGGTCATCATTGCCTGTGTACCAATAACCTTGGTCATGGTTGTGCTTACTGCCAGAACTTCAGTTGAGTTATGCACACTGGTATTTAAATCAGCTGATGGCAAGAGAAATGGCTAGACTCTTCCGAGCAGGTGAACACAGGCTGCTGTGACTAAGGCTTTGAACATCCCTTTGTCAAATTTCTGCTTACTTTGAATAATAATAGCTTACGTTCTTTTTTTTTTAATTATTAGATATATTGGGGTGACATTGGTTAATAAAACTATATAGGTTTCAAGTGTGCAGTTGTATATTACATCATCTGTATATTTCATTGTGTGATCACCACTCAAAGGCAAACCTTCCATCATCATATATTTGACCCCTTTACCCTTTTCTACCTCCCTTTCCCTCTGGTAACTACTAAACTGTTGTCTGTGTCTATGAGTTTTAGTTTATTTGTTATCTTTCTAGAAACCTGATTCCATTGGCAAAAGATGGAACTAGGAGTTTAGTCCAATAGCAAAGTTCCAGCATTAAACATTAGAGAATGGGTGACACTAACTTGTCAGGTAATCTCATGGATGATAGTGGAGCATCCTGTGAAGTAATGCTGGGATACTTGATGGCAAGTAGCAGAATGTTGTGTGAATATCCATGGTATGCATGACTTAGTAGAGGAGAACAGATGGTCAGAACTGGGGTAAAGTGGTTAGGCATGTCTTGACTGATTTAACTTGCTTACATTTTCCTTTTCATAAGTACAAAAGAGTGTAACAAGAATCTGTGCCTAAGAATACCTAGTAGATGTTTTCATCAAATATAAACTAAAAAATTCTAGATGACAAGTAAATATCATTACTTTTTAATTGGCAGTGTTTTTCTTCCTTGTTGCAGACAAGATACAGTTATGCCTTCTTAGATTCAATGAAATACAGTAAATCTCTTCATCACACATCTGTTAACTTTGTCTTAGGTATCTTCGTTGAACCAGAATTCTTAATTTTGACTTGGTCAGATTCATCCATTTTGGCCTCATGGTTTGTGTGTTTTAGAGATCATTTCCTACTCTAAGTTCACAAAGACATTCTTCTACATTTTCTTCTATTATCTTTTCCAGATGTCTTTTAGGTTTTTAATATGTCTGGAATTCACCTTTGTACATAGTTCTGCAACTTTATTTTTCTTTATAGAGAAAAATCTATGTATAACTTAGTGGTTTGTGGGGCAACTGCTATCATTTGCCAAGTATTTATGTATACACAGTTTTCTTCAGTACTAGATTCTTTCATTGGTCTGGTTGTCTATTCTTGCAGTTTCAAACCTGATGTTAACAGAGATCTGTTATATTTTATTCTTTCTGGTAAAGCACCATCCTCCCTATTTCTAAGTTCACTTACCATTCACGAACCTTTATTCATCCAAATAATTAATGACTCTCACTAATAATAAGGTTGTGGGTTTTGATTGGAAAGGGTTTTATTTTCCCTCTTTCTAGTCCTTTGAGACCTCACTTGTGGAGATGTCTTTCTAGGTTGGTTTTATTTGCTTCTGCGAGGTGATCCTGAAAGGTCTTATGCTCCAGGATTCCTGTGTCAGGAGCCTGCATTGGGCACAGGTGTGAGCCTTTCATTTCTCACATGAAACAGTTTTCCTTCCCTGTTCCAAGTGCTGGACAGAAATCAGATCCCGACATCCCTGTGTCATGCTGCCTCTTGACTGTGGTCAGAGGCTTTGGGTGTGTTTACTCTTGATAGTTTGATTTCTCTCTGTGTTACAGTTTTTGTAGAATGGCCTCGACTTTCATAGCAGCAACCATTACTACAGGGTTGTCTACATAGGTGTTTTTGTTTTTTCATCTTTTTGTGAGTGCCAGAACCTACACACCAGGGAGGACTTGAGAAACTTAAAGAAGCCTTGAGAATTAGGAAGCTAAATGATGCGATGGATTCACAATCACAGTGGGTGATTTGAAATAGAAGACGCCCTTGAAGCCATAGGGAAGAAGGAAGAAAATATTTAAAGAGCACCTCTTATGGGACAGGCACTTTTATGATGACAATTACCTTGAGAGAAACGTTCTCTCCTCATTCTGTAAATGAAGAAAGTGAGGCTCACGGAGGCCAGGTAATGTCCCCAAGTCTCCGAAGCCATCAGTAGCAATAATGCAGATGAGATCTGTCTGACTGACTACAGCCTGTGTTCTTTTCAGTGAGTCATCTTGGCTTTTATGAGTTTATCTGATTTTGTGAATTTACTTCAAGCTGTCATTCATTCCCTTCCCTAGTTTTCCTGCATCTTGTTATTTTTCTCATAGAAAACCAGTTCTGTTAAAACATACCAGTGAGAGCAGTTTCTCAGTCTTTCCTGGCTGCAGCCCAGTATGCAGACCAGTGCAGATGCATAATAAGTTCCTGGCCACAGTCCTTTCTCTTCCCCTATGCAGTGTATTGTGACATTTCCATTCCATTCTAAGGGTTTTCTTTAGTTAAAATAGACTGGTTGTGACTGACTAAATTGGTCTCACAGCCCTTTAATAAAGAGCTCATGGCCCTGTGTTTTTGAAGCATGGCCTAGAGCTAGAGTGTTTGTCAGCAAAGGACTTGACAAATTGTCTCCTCAAGAGCCCACTTCCTGTCCCAGCCATACTTGGATCCACGCTTCTGATTCTTTTAAAAACTTTCTTTTTTCAGGTGTGACCTAGGAATTCCTCTTAATAGTATGCCAGCATTAACTTAAGAAATTGGGCACTTGTCCCACTTACTTTTTTCGTGGCTTCCTATAGATAAATTTATTTGTAAATGACTTAACTGTAAGATCATAACTTGTTCTGCCTATTCTTGCCTTTGATCTTGGTCTTTTTTATACTTTCCTCTCTTTTTATCTTATCCCAGAATTTTTCTGAGGTACTTTATTTAGCTGTTCTTTCTTACGTGAATTTAAAATCAAAACAAAGATTTGCCATCCATCCATCTTGAAATTCAAGCTCACTTTTTAATGTAAGTAGTACAGGGTAGCCTATTAAGAATGGAATTAATGACAGGGTATCTGATTTTTAATATACCATTGTCTAATTTTACTTTTTAAAATAAAAAGTTAAAGAGCTAGGAAACTAGTATGCAAATAGGGTAGAATGGCAACATTTGTATATCCTGACTGCTACCAGGGTAATGTCATAGTGTGTGTGCTATAACATGAATACCTGCTGAAGTAAACCACTCTTGTCTCTTTTCCCCAGCCCTCCAAGCCACAACATCATAGTGAATGGAAAAAAATGTATAAACTTTGCCTCATTTAATTTTCTTGGATTGTTGGATGACCCTAGGGTCAAGGTAAGCAGCACCTATGCTGAAGTGGACAGATAGCATGACTGACTTAAGAAACTGGACATAAAATCAAAGACAAATGCACAATTTTAGAAAGGGCTCCATAAGTGTCTACCATTACTCTTTTCTGGAAGAACTGTGACCTGGATTTACACAGATGGTGGCAGGAATGTCTAATGAGGCTTAGTGTTGTACAAGCCAGACCTAGAGATAGTTGGAGATGTATCTAAGAAATTACTCTATTTCCTATTGAGAGTGTTGGCTAGTAAACATTTTTGAGGACAGACTATGTCTACAAAATACCAGAAACTACAAAGGCATTGAGTTAATCAGGTTTTGATATTCGAACTAATAGAACATTTCTATGTTTTAAGTTATATCCCTAAACCCTTAATGTTTGACTTTTCTTTACATTCTGTTGTTAGAATGTCATTTCTGAGAAAGGAAGGAAAATGGTTGAGGGAGGGAGGAGTTATGTAGGTTAATGAATAGGAAATGTAAATTTTGAACTCTTAAAGATAAATTATTAAAATCTAATTTTCTTTTCTTCCCCAAAGGCAGCAGCTTTGGCATCTCTAAAGAAGTACGGTGTGGGGACTTGTGGACCTAGAGGGTTTTATGGCACATTTGGTATGTTTTTGTTGTATTTTTCAGACTGATACTTTCAAGAATTAAGATTCTATTCAATTTCAAAACTCTCAGCAAAAGATAGCCTTAATTAGTTATGTTGTTAAGTTGGTGAGTGCTATTTCTTGCCTAATTTTCTAGTGTGTATTTGGAACCGTTGGTGGGAGGTGCATTGGTCTGGGGTTCAATGACACTTGTGGAGAAGAGCTGTAGGTACGTTAGGTGTGTACCTCATAGGTCTAAGCCCAAGCTGCTATTGCATGTGCCTCAAGAGGCCAGAGGTATGAGGAGACACAGTTTGTTTCTGTTGTGCATGACAGTTGTAACGGGAAGGGTCCGGTTGTGGGCAGTTCTGCTCTTCATACTTGTGTAGAAATCCTAATCTTCCCTGCTCCAGTGTGGAGGATACCATCCTGGTTTGCGTGGCTGCCATGTAGAAAGTATGTGGGGAACAAGAATGAAGGGCAGCAGTACCCTTTTAGGTGGGCAGGTGGCACTGCACATCACTCTGTCCACATTACATTGGTGAGAACATAACCCAGGTCATGCTTCACTGCATAGGAGGCAAGGAAATAGCCTAGCTGGGCAGCCACCACATGCTAAGAAAAAAGGCAAGAACAGATTGGGGGGCAGTAGACTCTGTAGCTTTTTCCTTCTGGGATAAAGATGAAGGATCATTGATTTTCTTGTGTTCAGGTGACCCCAGGACAGGCTAACTAAATATTAGGATGAGTGTGTGATTTCAGACACTACAAACTACCTGAGAGTTGTCAAAGATGACCCTGGCATTTTGTGGTTATGTTTATTAAATGCATAGTTATTTGGTTCTGAAAATTTCAAAAATGCTAAATAACTGTTAAATGAATATACTACTGGAAATAACATTCTGACTTACAAAATGTCAGAGTTAGAGTGTGGAGAAGGTAGAGCTTCTGTACTCATTTCTACCTCTGGGTCTTTGTGTGTGTGTTTTTTTTTCACTTTAACATTTAAGATGTTTTTATTTAAGGGAGCACCTTTATTCCTTAGCTAGCTTGATGGTTAAATTATTTATATTGGAAACAGGTGACTGGAGTTAGTGTACAAGAATCCTACAGCTGGAAAAGATCTTAAAAATCTTGTATTCCAGCATCTCAATTATTCATAAGAGGAATAGAAAGCCCAGAGAGGTTAAGTGACTGCCACACAGTCACACAGCTCATTAACTTCGGCCCTAAAACTAGAAACCAAGTTATGCTGACTCCCAGTATTAATGGCAGGATCAAAGACTTAAACGAGCTCAGCTCAGTCTCCCTTTTTTCTCTAGCCTAGTGCGAACATGGGTTGATTTCTTGGTTTTGATCCATAGGGAATGATTTTTCTTGAAAAGTATTAGAAAACTAGAAACAGCATTTTTTATGAGGGAGGTTGTTGTAATCTGATCAACAAGGCTTGCTTTCTATGATCTGCTTGCTGGGCTAAAGTAGTTACTTTCCTAAAAGCCTCTCTTTTTAGTAGATTTTATTTGTGTGTGTGGCCTTGGCCCCTGCTTGAGTGTCAATCTGAGATGACAGATAAGAGATTTATTGCTAAATCAAGTCATAAAAAACAAATGTTGTAAAACTTCAAGACCAGTTTTCCAGGAGCTGTGGAAGTGCATTATTAGGATAGCCCAGTCAACTTTCCAGTTGGATCACCTGAAATTTAATATGTATAACAGTGTGCTTTGTGCTTCCAAATGTGGGGTATTTGGATAAATGGTTTTTAAATAATTTTCTTGATTGAATAATTCAGGCCATGATATAAACTTCAAAGGTATATAGAGATAGTGAAAAGTCTTTCCTTTCTTACTACCATCCCACCCCACAAAAAGACAGCTACTATCAATCAGTAGTTTATCAGTTCTAACAGAGGCTTTTTTTTTTTAGAATATACAAACCACTTCCATACATGTATATTTCCCCTCATTTTTACAAAAATAGTAGTATACCACACACATTCTGTACCTTGCTGTTGGAGTGTTTTAAATTGGATTTGATTGTTCCGGTGTCTGAATGGACCACCAGAGGCAGTATAACGGACACATTATTATATATCAGCTCCTCTGTAAACAACTTTATTGGTCACTGAGTCATATTTATTCTAACTGTGGTTGAAGCTTCAGACTGTGGCATCTGGCAAAGGTTGAAGGTTAATTTGTAGTGTTTTCGTAACAAGACACTAAACCTATAGCTTATAGTCATGTGTAATGTTTTCCTAGTACCTTGTCCTATGGATAAACTTGTCTTGTTTCTTAATAGTTGCCCATATTTACTTGTCATCTTTTTTCTTTCTTTGGATGTATATTGTCCATAGGTTTCCTTTTCCGTTTTCTAACAAGATATTTTCTATGTGTTTCCTATTCTGGAAGTAATCAGTTTAATTATCATAAGTGATATTAAGTTACCTTGAAATTTCAGTGTTAGATAAGATCAGAGAAGCTACTCCAGGTCAGTAAGGCTAAATTTCAAATCTCTAAAATACCCTGTACATTTAACTTACCTTAAATGTTTAGGGTTCTTTTGCCCTTTGCACTGAGCAATAAAGCAGACTTGAGGGCTCCTTTCCTCTTGTTTGTAGTTGCTTGTGTATTCATGAGGCCTAGAGTCTCTTTCC